GCGCCGCTCCCTGCCAGCGCAGCGCCCCTGACACCGGGATTTCATCCATAATCCAGGCCCTATCGCTGCTAAAGCCGCAATTATCCCCGGATTAGCGCCGGTGCTTAGGGACCCACCTGGGTCAATGCCGGCAGCGCCGTGCCAAAGCTGCCCGCGGCTCCGGCTCCGGCCAGGACGCGGTGACTGGTGGCCGGCTGTCACCTCGGGTGACCCCGGGGCCGCTTTGTCCCGTGCGTGTGGAGGCGGGGCAGGGATTTTGGGGGTGTTGTTTGTGGGGTGAGCCCCGCCCTGGCAGCGCAGTGTCCTTGTCTCTGCTGTGTTTGAGGTTGGGCTCATCCAAACTCGGTGTCCAGGGCAGGCTGGACGGGGCTTGGGGGAGCGTGGGATGGTGGAAGGAGTCTGTTCCCGTGGGTGGGGTGTGTTCAAACCCAAATAATCCTGGGATTCTGCGATTCCATCTCGGCGTCGTTCTGGGTTCAACAGTGGGGGTTTTTTTTGAGGAGGGGGATGACCCTCAGCACCCCAAGGTGGGATTTATGGCACAGAGAGCAAAGCTTGGCTTGGGGCTGTGCCGGAGGGGCTGGAAGGCCCCAGTCTCCTTTAGCAGGGGTGTGGGATGGGATATCCCAATTTCCTGGGGTTCCTGGTGCAGCTGGAAGGCCCCAGTCCCCTTTAGCAGGGGTGTGGGATGGGATATCCCAGTTTCCCGGGGTTCCTGGTGCAGCTGGAAGGCCCCAATCCCCTTTAGCAAGGGTGTGGGATGGGATATCCCAGTTTCCCGGGGTTACTGGTGCAGGAAGGCCCCAATCCCCTTTAGCAGGGATGTGGGATGGGATATCCCAGTTTCTCGGGGTTACTGGTGCAGCTGGAAGGCCCCAATCCCCTTTATCAGGGGTGTGGGATGGGATATCCCAGTTTCCCGGGGTTACTGGTGCAGGAAGGCCCCAATCCCCTTTAGCAGGGGTGTGGGATGGGATATCCCAGTTTCCTGGGGTTACTGGTGCAGGAAGGCCCCCATCCCTTTTAGCAGGGATGTGGGATGGGAAATCCCAGTTTCCCAGGGTTACTGGTGCAGCTGGGAGGCTCCGGGGCGCTGTGGGGAGGGAGCGCCTGGGGATGGACGCGACACGAGGTCGGGAATGTGCCGGGAGCGCCAGACATTGGGATGGGGACACGGGGGTGGCACTGGGAATGATGGGATTGGGAATGAGGAATTTGGAATGAGAAATTGGGAATGAGGGGTTTGGGATGAGGGGACTGGGAATGAGGGATTGGGAATGAGGGATTGGGAATGAGGGGCCAGAAATGAGGGACTGGGAATGAGGGGACTGGGAATAATGGGATTGCGAATGAGGGACTGGGAATGAGGAACTGGGAATGATGGGACTGGGAATAATGGGATTGCGAATGAGGGACTGGGAATGAGGGACTGGGAATTTGGTATTTGGAATGAGGAAGTGGGAATGAT